TGAGATTTCTTCAAATTACTTTGGACACCTCTCTTCTACTTCAACTATAATTACTTTTCCTTTCTCCTCATCAGATCCATGTTCTTCTCCAAATTCATTGTTGGTAAGGAATAAGAGAGTTATTGAGCATTCAACAGCTGCTTAATTTAAATATCATATATTTTAGAATTCTGCCTTTACTTTGCAGTGCCTGGGAGGTTTCAGAAGTTGGAGAATCTGAAAAGACAGTTTGTCTAGTTCAAATTCTTCTGACAAGAAATTGAAATTGATTTCAGGAAGATGAACAAGGCTTTTGGGCACCGAAAAGACTCAATGTGAGGATTTCTAATTGAATTTTCATTTTGTTTCAAGGCATAGATTGATTCAGCCAAAGTTTGGATGAAATGGGGTTTTTGGAAACAATTCTGCCAGTCCTTTAATGTGAGGTAATTTGTAATAGACAATCTGTGACAAAATAAATCTTTGGGAAAGTATACATCGTGTTAATGAAGGTGATGGTTACGTTGTTCAGATCTTTTTTCGCAATGTCTGGAAAAACATTCAACTCCTCTTTGCTAAAGAAGAAGCTGCAATGATTTTTATTCCACACATTTAAAGGAAGAATATGTTGGGAAGAAAATATCAGATTGCACTAATGTAAAGAGTGAATTCGTGTCTTTGGACATATATATGTATGTATTTATATATGCCATATATATTTTTATATATATACACACATTAAAGACACTGGAAACAATAAGGACTGTCAGCACAGATCCAATGACATGACCTCTTTAAAACACAGGAGGATGGCATTGTGCTGAGATTACAGACCACTTTTAATTCTTCCATTAGTGATCCATTTGTCAGAACATCACTTTGTCAGATTGTCAGAACATCACTTTGTCAGAAATAGCAGCTTTGCATTTGAATGATTTTTTAAAGAATGCTATTTTCTTGTTATGTTAAATGAATTAATATACTGTACACCTACATTTTGGAAAGAACCATTTTGCCAGAGGTCTAAGGAATAGCATATATTGTCCTCCTTGTAGGAACATGCACATTCACTATGAAAAATGGGTGCTCCTTTTGAAGCTGTGCCACCCATTCACCCTATGGTGATGCCTTCACAAGATAGAGTCCAGGTGGGCTGGAGAGTGTCATGTCTTATGGTTTGGCTTTACACCCACAAACCTATCTGTGAATTTCCATCAAGAAGATTTTTATTCTCTACCCTGCACTGCAGAATTTATACTGTGATACTCAAATTAATTGCAGCAAAAACTGGTAGAATTTGGGAATATGAAATGGACACAGAAGAAAACCATATGTTGAGTTTTCTTTTAATTCTGAGGCCATTATAAACAGCTTCAGTTTTCAGCACAGAGGAACTTCCTAACTTTTCCAGACATCTTCACCTCATTACATACACTATCTCAGAAAAGTTTTTCTGGCCCTGACAATCTCAGTGAGATACAGCTCTGTAAATTGTCATGGCCTGCATGTATCTGCAGTATTCTACATTAGCTGAGGTTTTGCGCTGGTTTTCCTAGGCCATTCCTGCCAAATATACGTGGCTTAGACTGTATACTAGGAAAAATTTCTTGACCAAAAGAGTTGCCAAGCATTGAGACAGGCTGCCTAGGGAAGTGATTGAGTCACCATCCCTAGAGGTATTTGAAAGATGTGTAGATGTGGCACTTAGGGACATGGTTCAGTGTTGGACTTGACATTGCTGAGTTAATGGTTGAACTCAATGATCTTAAGGGTCTTTTCCAACATAAACAATTCTATGATACTATGATTCTTTGCATGAAGGAAACCTTACTGCACTTTGCTTCATCGGAGCCATCTTCACAATGAGGTACATTGTCACAAAGGTTATGCAATGGTATACATTTCCCGCTACCACACTGATGCTCATCAACTGTACAAGCTCCTAAAGGAAAACAAGAGAGAAAAACAAATCTGTATTTATGAAGAAGGTTGATATTCACTGGAGATCTTGCAGTTCACTTGTAAAAAATTGAGTAGATAATATGCAGAACCTTTGATTTAATTTTCTTTGCATTTCCATCCATCTCTCTTTCAAAATAAAGTTAATTTTAAGACAAACAGAAGCTAATTATGAATAAAATCTATGATATTATACCTTGTAGTTTCTGCTATAGTTAGCATTGCTCAGTTACTAGTGTTGTGTAATAAATCTTGGGGGGAAAAGGCAAATTCTGTAAAAAATGACTAATGATTTCAAGTTCCACATGTTCAGCACTTTCACAAAAGTTTAGGGACCTTGAATTATGTCAAGTCAAGCATACAAACAAAGAGGCACCGAAAGTCAACAATCTCCTTCTAAAAACTCATTGTTGGGAAAGGTGGAAGGGACAAAAGTAACAGAAATGAATGAGGAAAACATTCACAAAAGCAGGATTAAGCTACTTCAGTATCAGTTCTCTAATAAAAGTAGATGAGAGTAAGAGTAAATGCAAAGTTATAATTGCATGTAACTTTGGAAACATGGCTTCATGAGGGGGAAGTCCTGCTTGTCAAACCTTAATTCCTTTTATGACAAGGTGAGCCACCTAGCTGATCAGGGGAAGCCAGTTGATGTAATCTCTTTAGATTTCAGTAAAGCTTTCAATACCCTCTCTCACAAGGTCTTTCTGGGCAAAATGTCCAGCATAAAACTGGAAAAACACACTAGGCAATGGGTGAGCAACTGGCTCACAGTTCAGGCACAAAGGGTTGTGGTGCAGGGATTACATCAGGCTGGTGACTGGTCTCTAGTGGGTTCCACAGGGCTTTGTCTTAGGCACAGTGCTCTTCAATATCTTCATTAATGACTTGGATGCAGGACTTGAAGGGCTATTAAGTAAATTTGCAGATAATACAAAATTGGAGGAACTCTTGACTCCCTTGTCAGAGAGGGCTTGCAGAGAGATCTAGCTACAAATTAGAGAGCTGGGCAATCACCAACCATATGAAGTTTAACAAGGGCAAGTGCCAGATTCTGCACCTGGAACGGGGCAACCCTGGCTATATGTACAGGCTGGGAAATGAGATGATGGAAAGTAATGCCATGGAAAGGGGCCTGGGGGTTCTTGTTGATGGCAAGTTGAACATAAGTCAACAGTCCGAAGGGCCAACCGTGTCCTGGTGCATCAGGCAAGACATTGCCAGCTGTCAAGGAAGGTAATTGTGCTGCTCTACTCTGCTGGTCTGGCCTCTCCTCGAATATTGTATTCAGTTTTGGGCACCACAATATAAGAAAGATATTAGGTTATTAGAGAATGTCCAAAGGAGGACGACAAAGATGGTGAAGGGCCCTTAGGGGAAGCCACATGAATGGTTGGAAGTTGCATCTGGGAAGGTTTAGGCTGGATGTTAGAAAATGGTTCATCATCCAGAGGGTGGTTGGGCACTGGAACAGGCTCCCCCAGGGAAGTGGTCACAGCACCAAGCCTGACAGAGTTCAACAAGCATTTGTACAATGTTTTCAGGCACATGGTCCTGTGCAGGGCCAGGACTAGATCTTTCCAACTCTGTAGAATCTGTGATTCTGTGATAATTCTTTCTATGGCCAGAGTTTATTGTTAATGGCTCCATTCAATATATTTACAGGAAATATGGAGACATAAACTTAAATTCTGTTGAAATTTAAAAAATTTTCTTTAATATACTTTCATGGACTTACTAACTGAAATAGTTAATTATCTAGAAATTTTATTTAAGGAAATATAATTGCTTTGTTTCTGAATTTTAATAGTCTAATAAAATGATTCATTCATCAGTTAGCATGGCCTGTAACAAATGGAAGAAAAAGAATACATTTTATAAAAGGCCTGAACCAGATTTTCACGAATTTAATGTTCATAATTAATAACAAATATTCCATAGAACTGTTCTCACTTAGATAGGTTTCTTATTGTATTTCATACTGCAAAAAATCATTTCTGTTCAAATTATTCTTCCTTTTCCAAAACCAATATTTCATAGAAAAATAAAACTAATTTATTCACTGACAATCCTTTTATCCATAGGCCTGCAGGCTAATGATACTAGTACAGTCCTTTGGCTGCAAAGATCGTGAATAATCATAATTCTTTTGCAAATGGAAAATTTTAATGTATTTTACCAGAACTGGAAATGGCCACTCAGAGAAGTCTGCATTGCTAAGCTTAATTTTTATTTTACAATGAAATATGGGCAAAGCTGGCTCAGAAAATATGCTGAATCAGATAAAAAAAGGCAGTGTTGTTGGACTGAAGAAATGTGAGAGAAGGCAAAACAAGAAGCAGCAAAGTTGTCATACATACATATAAGCCAACATCTCAGTCTTGCAAAACAGGACTAAATGGGGTTAATTTTACAAATGTAAATCAATGGTGAAGATTTGTTCTTTAATATTAAGAAAATGTATATTAATATAATAATTATTACCATTAATCTATAAAATATTTGAAGCTAGCTAAACATGCTGGTAGACATATAACTTTTCTAATAGTTAAAGTAAGTAAAAGATCATAGATTCTTGTTGAATTTCTTTTCATGTAAATGATTAGTACTTCACAAATCTCAGTGCATACTGCTTTTTCTTTCTCTGTTTTTATGCAGTCAGACTTCCACTGAAGTAATACAAAGCCTCTAATTAATTCTGTCAAGATTTGGCATAGAGCTGGTCTAATTATTTGTCCTGGTAAGCATATTGCTGTTCCATGTACTTTGCATTTGGCTCCATTTTGCATATTTTTGGAGAACTGACTGCTGAATTATGAGTGACAAGTTTAATTGCATTCCCCATGAAAATCAGGAGTCTTTCAGGAAGGAACTGGCTGTGATCAGAAATACTACTGTCCAAATATTTAAAAGACTAACTATTCTCAGATCATTCACATGCTAAGGACCAAACTTTCAAAGATGCAAGAAGGGTCATACTGCAAATATTGATCAGAGTTGCCATATACAATTCTCTTTTCTGGTGGATATGATCAATAGCAAATATTTTACAAATGCTTTTAAACACAGATTAATGACACTCTCTAATGAGTCATAAAGTGATCTTTTCTGGGGCTTGTATAGGAAATTGCTAGTATTTGTCCTCAATGTTTGAACAGTTTTTGGTCAAAATACTAGGTCAGTTTTTCACATAGTATCACACAGAGTTGTGGACAATACAGGCATTGGTTATAGAATCATAGAATTTTAGAGGTTGGAATGGACCTTACAGATCATCTAGTCACAAACCCACCTGCCATGGACAGAGACACCTCCCAACTAGACCACATTGCTCAAGGCCTCATCTAGCCTGGCTTTGAACACTCCTGGGGTTGGGTCAGCCACCACTTCCCTGGGCAACCTGTTCTAATGTCTCACCACCCTTATAGTAAAAAACATTTCTAATATCCAGCCTAAACTTCCCCTCCTTCTTTTTGAACCTGTTAGCTCTTGTCCTATCACTGCAGATTCTAACAAAGAGCCCCTCTCCAGCTCCTTTGTAGGCCCTTCAGATATTGAAAAGTTGCTATGAATTCTCTATGCGGTCTTCTCTTCTTGAGGCTGAACAGGCCCAGCTTCTTCAGCCTGTCAATTACAGGTCTAATTACAGCAAAGAAACAAACTCATCACTTTTCATGCTAAAACCAGTAAAGTACAGATGAGTAACTGCTAGGCTATTTCTCTTTAACTTTGGAATCTCTCTGTTGATCAAGGGTTAAGTCACCTTCCACTCTCAACATTTTGTCAAATGTGTTTGATCAGTGATACAACCTCTTCAATACAAAGGTTCAGATTCTTACTTAGATGATAGCCAGTAGTAAAGTTTGCAAGAAATCCCTTCCTTGTTGCAGACTTGTCCGTACGGAGGATTACTGTCATCTGGTTTGTTGTAGAGAACACATCTGGCAATGGGCCTTGTTCTGTGTAGACAGCTATTCATAAAAAGAACATGAACACATTTAAGCCATTTTGTTCATATGTATTTCAAACTGATTTTTGTTCAAAAGCAAGTACTACCACCACATGAATGCTGTTGCTCCCCCAAACCTAACTGCTATCAGACTGCAATGGTCAAAGCCCAACACCAAACTTGACTTATCATAGAGCAACATTAGGTTCAACTAAGAGATTGTGCTCCTGTTTGTCCGCATATATAAGCAGTCTGATTTACTGAGAAGCCAGTTTTGTATGGATTGCAAGGAAAGCTGTGTGTGTGCAAACATTTTGGAAATGTTATGTAAGAAACAGTATGTTTTCTCAGATTTTCCTCCTATTTTCTAAGACCCCGGAAAATGTGAAGAAATGTAGAATGGAAAGAGAGATTAAATTTCCTTTGTATTATATCCATCAGTTTGCTCCAGCTGTCTGCTTATATTCATTTTACTACTCAGTGCTATTACTTGCCCAAAAGTAAGGAATCTGGTCCTCTGCCATCTCTGATTTCAACCACATCATTAATACTTTCCAGATCAAAAACCTGAAAATGAAGTTGAATATTTTTTCCATTTTCAGCATTTAAGTACCACACACCTAGAAAACAGTAACATACACATACAAATCACCTTTTCAGTAGTTACTTTTACTGTCTTTTCCTGTTGAAGGGCTTTTGGGGGAAAAAGTCTGCTAAACTCTTATGAATCATGCAAGAGTCTAAATCTTGTCTTTAAAAGCAACTTAAGCTGTCACAATCCAAAAATTCCATAGGCTCTCATTCTTAAAGCTCTTTTTAAAATTAATTTTAGGCTCCTACAACATACACATGTGTTTTTAATCCTTCATGACAACTGTGAGTTTCCCTAAAGTAGGAAAGCTCATTCTTGTTGGACCGTGACAATGTAACAAATAGTCTTGTCACTTAAATCTTGTTTGATAGTAAGATAATTTCTATAATCAGTCACAGAAGCCTGACTTTCAAGTTAGATAGCTTTTTGTTTCTGTTTAGCCTATGTTTCCTCATATTTAATATAAGTGTGGATACTCTGGAAATATTGTTAAGAAAGTACAAAACACCCCAAAACCAACCACTAAAAAATATTTTCATAGTATGAAAAGTATCTTCTTACTAGTAGGAATCTCATTTGGGAACTTGTGAAATGAATACTGGAAGTGTGAACCATATCTCGAGTGGAACAAAGCCACAAAATGACAACTCTTATGATTAACATCCCAACACAATTCCCCAGTTAAAGGTGAAGTAATAAATAATTGAAATTTCATTAAGAAGCAATGACAAAGTTGTCTTCCCTGCTTCATCCATCAACAGCACATAGTGGACTACCTTGAAGCATTGACTTTTGCTAGCTGTAGCTTAATCTAAATCAAGTAGCATCAGTAAAATACTGATGTCTTTTCACTAGTATGTTAAGAAATGTTAAATAAAGAGGTGATTCCTTGCAATATGCATGCACATATTCTTTGGCTCTAGAAAACTTTAGCTATTTAGCAGAAGTGATGATATTAACCTGGCAAACACTTTCAGGTGTAATAATAAAATGGGGACTTTCATCATCTTTTATGACATAAAGACATTTGATATAATAGACATTAGGGCATTGGCCTGTCTGAACCCATTCCATGGGATTAAGCCTGTCTTCATCACTCTCTAATCAAATGGCACATGTTTCCTTAGGTTCTGCTAAGTGCCATATAGAATTCAGATAAAAGATCCCACTGTATATAACAGATCTTTTTGTTTGTTTGTTTGACAGCATCTGACTTGGAAAAGCAGATTTAGCTTCTCCATTTTTATATGATTAATCTTACCCCAAAGATTTGGAAAAGAACGACTTACAAGAAGCTTGATTAGGGTAATTGTTTGGAAAGTTTTCAGAGCTGAATGTACTGTTTGGCTCCCAGAGTTCAACTGGCCCTCCACAGTCAGCTGAAAAAGAAAACATTTAGAAAACATAATTAACCTATTGTCTTACTTTTTCAATCTGCTGTAATAATGATAATTTGTAAAAGTAATTTTATGAAGAGGATATTCAAGCTAACTTCATTCCTGTAAGGGTTCAGTTACATGAGTTAACTGAAGGTGCCATTGGTATAAGGCTTGAACAATGAATTGTGAGAAGTCAACACCCTGGTTTTTGGTAAGGACACAGTGCACTGAAGAATTAAGGTTTGTAAGAAATTCATTGCCCTTAGTAGTTACAGTGTCTAAATGAGACATGCTGGCATGTAAATGCCAGCATTTATATGATGCCATGATACATGATTTACATGATACATGATGCCAGAGCATTATGTACTGCTGTAGTTCATATATTGTAGTTGGTGAAGTGCTGGTGCCCAGATGCATAACTGTATTAATTTATGATGGTGCTGTGAGAAGTCTTTCCCATGCAGTCAAGGGAAGGGCACAGTCTGACTTTCATGTGATTATTGGTCTGCAAGCTGTGCACTTAACAGAAAATATGAAGACAATAATGTGATACAGTCAACTGTGTCATTTAATAGCACAGTAATCTAAAAGCCAGAAAATGTCAGAGAGGCCCCAAAATATAACAGATTTATGCACTTTACTTATACTCCTTCCTTGTTATCCAATCATTCTTAGAATGATATAATTTTTAAGGTGGGAAAAGACCTCCAAAGTAATTGACCAATCAACTAGAGCTTGTCAACTAGACCAAACACTAAGTGCCACATGCAGATGTTTTACGAACACTTTCAGGAATGGTGACTCCACCACCTGCTGGGACAGCCTGTTCCAATGCCTGACCACCCTTCCAGTGAAGAAAACATTCTTGCAGCATTAGCAGAGATACTCAAGTGTAAAGCTCATGTTGTCATCTAGCAAGTAAACTTAGGACAAAGCGCAAACCCTTATACTATTGTTTGTGCCACATGCAGATGTTTTACGAACACTTTCAGGAATGGTGACTCCACCACCTGCTGGGACAGCCTGTTCCAATGCCTGACCACCCTTCCAGTGAAGAAAACATTCTTGCAGCATTAGCAGAGATACTCAAGTGTAAAGCTCATGTTGTCATCTAGCAAGTAAACTTAGGACAAAGCGCAAACCCTTATACTATTGTTTAGGACTTAACCAGTAAACTTAGGACAAAAAGCGCAAACCCTTATACTATTGTTTGCATCAGGACTTAAAAAAACTTACAGTTAGACCTAGTAAGTGTTAAAAATAGCCATTTGCTTTTTCCTCGAAAATATATGACCTATTCATAGAAAAAAATCTTCTTTGCTTTGGCCAAAACTTCAGTTTATATTGACATACACACCTAAAATGTGGAATGTACACTGTAATTTCCACACTGTTGTTTGTGTTAAAAGACAGGTCATAAATGAACATGAAGATGAAAGAAATCTTTGTTTTAGATGAAAATGTGAGCTGACAGTCTTGTGCAAAATGCAAAAACAAATCCAGCTTCCCTATGTCACCATCAAAAATATTTTTTTTACATCTCAATGAGGTTTTGTGGCACTGTGAATGATGCCAATGCCTCTTACTGAAGCTCTAATTCTAGTAAAAGAAATTGACTCAGCTCAAATTCTTTTATCTCTTGTTTATAGACGTGACATTTGCAGTGAAACCATTAGCGTTAGCAAGCTTGCACCACATCTATCAAAGTAATTTCATATTTCTTTGAAGATGATTGATAACATTCACTTTTTATCACCAGGTTGTAGATAACATCTGCGTAGCATGTCTTAACAAAGTTATAAGAACAAGATAGTTTTTCCCCAGCACCAGCTTAGACTTTGTATCATATTGAAGGACATTATGGATCCTCTCTAATCTCTTTCATAAGGAGTCATATGCCATATGACCATGTCCTTTTTTTATGAATATCTATTGCCATATTTTGGGAAGAGATGTGTAGTTTGAATTAAATTTCTTTGGTATTTTGGCAGCAGCACTCAGCTTCTATTTGCTATAGGGTTGTTCTACCACTAATCATTAGACTGATGCTAATTTGTGAGGTGTATTTACCCACAGCACCTGAAAGATAGCTGGAGGTAGCAGATATCACCATTTCTCCACATAATTACTTTAATAAAAGCTGCAATTAAATTCCCAAACTCATTCTGGTAAATTATGACTGAAATTACTACTGTTATTAAAATTTAATTTTGCTGATAGAGACATCTTGTTGAACTTTACCTCCTTGTGTCTCATGATGGAGCTCTAAAACTGCATTTGGCTCTTGTACTTAGGTTTTGTTTTCTTACCTATTAGAAGGCTTTATTTTCTTACCTGCCCTGATGCAATAGCTTTAGAGGTGACAGATTTCATAGAATGACAATATTAGAACACAGTGTTTCACCATGAATAAAATGCAAACTGTCTTTTTCTATTATTTTAATATTAGATGATTTTTCTTTACTATATACTGTCAAGAGTGCAACTAGCTGTGCTTTGTAAGTGACAGTAAATCTAATAAGAGGCAGTCCTGTAACACTCTCACTGTTTGTTTTAATGATTTGAAGCCATATGTGAATAGGTCTTTTGCAGAAAAATCTTTTTTCCCCTCAAAATTTCATTCTCTTTCACAAAAGCTTACAAAGCCCTATCAGATATTTTAATTTTTTCCCCCACAAGCTATATTTATATTTGTATTAGTTTTCCTTTGAATATGCTTGGACTTGGTTAACATCATATGGAATGTTTCTTCATTGTTTTATATAAATTTTCCAGATTTATAATGATGGTTAAAGGTATGGGGTTTTATATATTTCTCCATGAGATTCTTCTGACCAGCTCTGTGGAACTGTACTGTTTTGAGGAAGTTTAAATATCTGTGTTTTTCTCTAAAAGACTCTGCAGTAGAATGGGTCTGGATCAAGCTGTACAACCTGTCTGGAGAGGTACACATGCACTAGAGGCAGCAGTATTTCATGTTTCATTAACTTCCACTTGACTTAGAAGAGATGGCAAAAATATGCAAACAAAACCAACCCTCTTGCAGTATCCCACTGAGTGTGAGATTCAGCAGAGATGCCAAGAAGATGAGATGAAATGCGGTAAGGCCCCATTATGCAGTAAAAAAGTCCTACTAGAGCAAGCACTTATTCATCACACCTGCCTTACCACAGGGAGTACAGTTAGGAAAAAAAAAGCTGAAGAAATCAGGCTGGGGTTTTGACACATTAAAAAATGTATGCAAATGTTGAAATCTCTCATTAGATCAGGGAATGGAAAGAGTCCTTTGATTTTTTGGGTTTGAGTATTTTTTTGTCCACTCATTTCCTCTGAAACCAAAACTGCTAATACTCCTTCTGTCCTTTCTGTTTCCCTATTTTTTTTCCAAAGCAACTACTGATTTTTCCTCTTTAATGTAGTGAGATATAGTAGGACTAACAAAATTATCAAATGCATATTGGAAAGAGCTAGTGAATTGTGAACCTTACTCCAGATAGTATCTCCATTTTGGGTATTACACACTCACAGTTTGTGGTCCATTCTTAAACCATTCTGGCACTATTATGGATTCATTCCCTTAAATAACGGAGTTTCTGAGAGCACATGCACACTGCAGCTTGGTGAATCTTCACTATTGAGACCTCTAGGGATAATACTACATGACTGCTCATTCTCTTAATCTCCTGATATGTTGTTTATAATTTCAAATATAGAGGTTATAATCATCCTTCTCTTTCTTCTTTCCTCTTTCTCCCCCTTCAGTGGCATCCTGGAAGCTTTACTAATTAAAGCTTTTTGAGACAAATTCTGAATTCTTTAATTATCCTCAACTTTTCAAGTTTTGGAAGATACTGAGCTGATAGCTTAAGCTGTGATTCTACCAATTCTGTTGCTGTCAATGGAGTAATGGGCAGGAACCTTGACCTGTGTAGTATGTTATCCTGAAAATAATTTTATTATGCCGAAGAGAGGATTTTACACAACTGAATGTTGAAAATTCTGAATCACTAATGCAGAAATACAGTAATAGGAAATCAACTGTAATTTAGTGTTTACTTACTAGGAACTGAAGGAGTAGTAGGAACAGTTGGCAACACAGTTGGCTCCACGTAATCACTTTCATTACACTTTCCCTTTGTTAAGCCAATGTCATCCACAGCAATGTCACTGGGACCACGTTTTTTAAAGGCATCAAAAATCACCTGAAGTTTATGGGAAAAAAAATAGAATTTTATAATTTAGTGAACCATTTTTCATCTTCCTATTCTGAACTGTTTTTTTCTTCTGTCTCGAATGCTCTTATTTCCACTGTAATCTACACAGGTGCTGCACTCAGGGGAGAGCATCAGAGATGAGACGAAATTTCTCACAAAAATACCCCAGGACTATGCAAACTAAGTGAGTTACTCCAAGGAATGCAGTAACTTCTTCATACAAATGATGGACATGACTTAAAAATATTCAATAACTTTGCTTTTGTAATTTTTGATACACAAATTCTCTACCATTTGTCAGCCCAAACTTCTCTTGATCTAATGGCATTATCTCCATCAAAAATTGAAATCAATCTCATTTGTTTGTTATTCTGCTTTAAACACCATATATTTAAAGAAATTCCACTACCAAGGACTTTGTGCTGGTGAAATATGGATAGTGATCTTCCTGAAATCATAAACCACATGTTTACTGAAAATCTGATGTATCTAGGTCACAGATGCATTTACTTCCTCAGGTGGTAAATGCATGTATCTGACAGTGCTTTTGCATCAATCAAAACTACTACAGCAGGGCAAACCATCCCAAATACCTATAAAAAGAAATAATTTTGAAAAGAGAGGTGCTGAAGGAATTGTCTAGCATAAATATTTTCTCTACAGATAAGTCAAGTCAGTTGTTAACTATGTGGTGCCCAACACACTCCATCTGCAACAGACTTTCACTGATTTTTTTTTCTGTAAGTAATTGGTGAAAATACTTATTCAGAATCTGAAGTTGTTTAATTTGCATCTTATCATGGTTAAGCAACCATGAGCTCTAAGCAACCTGGTCTACTGGAAGGCGTTCCTGCCCAAACAGTGGGGTTGGAACTAGATGATCTCTAGGGTCTCTTCAAATTCAAACTATTCTGTGATTCTATGGTTCTATGGTTTCTCTGCATGCTATCATTTATTTGATGACATATATTAGTAATATACTGGATATTGTCTTTGAAGCTGTGGATCATTGGGTCCTTTTCAAAGAAAACTCTGATATAAGTTTAGTTAAAATAAATTTTAAAAAGAACTAGCAGCTTAACAAACCTTAAAATCAGATGTTTCATTTAAAGTTACTTGTCCATAATTCCAATTGTTTCCGTAGTTTCCTTCTTTTTCAAACACTATTTTTTCCAAACCATACTCATTACTTATGCTAACTGTTAAACGGTAAACATTAGTACTGTACATGAAATACCTAGAGGGAGAAAAGCAATATTTGTATTATCACAGTAAAGTGAAATTTCATGAAAAAATGTCACTCTTTTTACTTTATAAATAGTTTAATAAATTAGGAGTAATTTGCAGTGAGCATGAAAATAAAATAAATCATGTGTTTAGCTTGCACCAGGAGTTTACTTGGTACTTTGCTGTATTTTCTGCAGAGGTCTAGTTAAGCTTCATGACAAAAAGTATTTCAGATATTCTTAATATAATTTCTGTATAGAAATGAATATTGGATGGAGGGTTAAAAAGAAAATATATTAAAGCTAACCACAAGAACCAAAGTTATGAGGGATTTATAGTTTCAGGCCTGGAGTTGAGGCTGATTGTGGAAATCCAAACAGAAGCAGGCTTGTATTGCTGGCACACTGGCTTGGATCAATATCGTACATGAAAGAAAGCTATTTGGTTATATTCTTAAAGAAAGTGTGGGCTGAGAAACTGCATAACAATACCAAAAGCTTAGACAATATGTATCTGAAGAGACCAAAGGCAAACTCAGTATCCGGACTCGCTCTTCTCCAAATCCAAGTCCAATGGGTGTTGAAATATAAAATCCTGCAAGGTAATGAGTACATTTTAGTCAGTACAGAATTACTTTTTAAAGAATTCTTCAATTACAGCTTTTGCATTTAAAATAGTATCAATAGTATCAAGGACAGATAGAGTTGCCTGACTTGGAAGATTCCTGACAGAGTAAATGAGAATTATTATCTCAAGTTATATTCATCAGTCAGTGGCATATTGAAGTGAGCTTTTAAGCTTGTTGGATACTCCTCAAAATTAGGTATGACATAGGAAACTTGTCCTTTTCGAGTCAGTGGATCTGTCTTATTAGTGAAGCCAGCAATTCTACTTGGTTTCTAAAAATGGCTTCCTGTTTGATATTGCTTGTCATTTGACAGAATAATTTCCTGAAATTTTCATTATTTGTATCCACATATTCTTATTTTTATTCACAATGGGAAACATGGATTGCATGTTGAGAGGGTGAGAGAATGACTACATGAATATTTTATAGTAAGGTGAAGCATTATAAACAAAAAAAGCCCATTATTTGTGAAATTGAGTTTGTAGCTGCTTTTTTAGTTAATCCATTGCAGCTGAGAATTGAGACCTCTTGTTGCCATATGAGGCCAAGCCACAGAAGCATTGCGATTTGCCACAAGAAAAGCAAACTTATGCAGTTTCTTTCTTCCTTAAGATTAACTTGCAGTTTTTTGACCTATAGTACGTTGCATAGTAGAAATTCCCTTTTCAGATAAAGCTCTATGGCATAATAATAGCTTCGAAAGTTTTCAGTACCTCACACTTTAATCATTTTACATATTTCTTTATTTCTTCTTTTACTTTTGATATATTTCCACAAGATGGCAATCAGTAACATAAAACATTTTGTCTGATAGTCCTGACTCATTTATTATGGCAAAATAAAATGACATCCTAGTAATACCACTATGAAGAATCCATTGTGTGATATAATATAAACTAAATCAAGCTTTTCCTTTAATCTGCAAGCCACTTGTTTTTTGATCTTACCTGACAGGTTGCCGAATGTGTGATCAAAATCAGGACCACTCATAAAAGGAAAGGTAGGACCCTGAACTCTGTCCCAGTCTGAATCATCATCTAAATCTTGTATCCAGTAACAAAAGCCATCTTCAAAAGTGCAAGTGACTTTCTCATAATCTGTGAATAAGAACCTCTAGTAAATGAAGATGACAGAGACATTTAGTATTTTCTCTGAATTACATAAGAAAGAGTGACGAACAATGTACATTTTAAAATGTGTTTTTAAACTGAAGCCCATGGTGACTCAACTTCCTCTTCAATGCAATGTAACAAAATGACTCAAATAAATGTGTCGTTTTTACTTGTTAACAAAATGCTCTTGCGGAAGTGTAGCCCTATAGTCTTGCACTCATTCACCAATCTTGATTTCTGTTCCTTCTTTCCTGATCATTCACCAGTTATGTGGTGGGGAATGAGAGAGAGCCCTCTGCATAGCTAACACTAATGGCTAACCCTGCTCTTTATTTTGGTGAGGCC